TGTGTCGGCAGTTATTGTAAGATTATGGAGGCTGAGTTGGAGTCTTGGAGAGGATTTTGATGTAGAGGTTATATACTAGTGTGATGAAGTGATGAAAAACTTGTGAAGGAAGAAAAAACAAGTTTTTAGTTATGGATATAATAAAATGATGACAAGTAGCATTGTTGTCCTAAAGAAAAGGATGAGCACGTAGCAAGACTCACACATCGGATACATCTAGAAAACCATCAAATTCAAATGATAATATATTTTAAATTAAGCCTAATAAATATTTCAATGTTATGACTTTTGTTTGAAGTTTTTTGATTGAATTTTTCTTAAATTTGGAAGATTTCAAAGCAGTGTTTCCAAAAGGTGGAAATTATTAGTAGAAAAACAATTCAATGAAAATTGCAAATCATACAATAATAAACCGTTGAGAAATAAATTGGTGGAATATCTTTCATCTAGAATTTCAAGGGAAATTTAATTCCAACGGAAGATTTAGTGTTGATCTTCGTTGAAATACCAGTGAAATTTTCGTAATATATAATTCATAAGATTAGAATATCAATAGATTTTTTTATTTATATATTTTTTCATTGAATTTTCTATTGAATTTGATTTTTCTTTTAGTGCTTTTTACATTTCTTAAAAAATGACTAAAGGTGAATATTTTATAGTTTCTAAATTTTACAAAAAATCTTACTATGAGTCATAGGTAAATCATTAGTGGAATTTAACGTGTTGACCGCAAAATTGTAAGTCTCCTGGTTCGCTCATATTTTATAAAAGGACACCATACTATAAAGATATATTAAGTTTTTCACATTAGCTGACAATTTAACTTTTTTTCACTTCAAAAAGTGTGGAGATTATTCAAATGAACCGCATAACTGTCGCATAGTGAATGCATAATTGTCGTATATTTATCGCACAATGGCTTCGCGCGCACTTTAATTTGTTCACCCCAAAAAGTGCGAAGGTTATGCGAATGCACCGCATAACTGTCGCACATATCCATCTCATAACTGTCGAATATTCATTACACAATGTTTTCATAGTACTTTCTGAGATAAAAAAAAGTTAACTTAGTAGTCAACTGTGTGAAAAACTTAATACATCTTCATAGTGGGGTGAAAAATACTATTTTTACTTTTATAAATTACAGCTATTATATTTCCCTTCAATTTATATTGTGATATATTATTAAAATAATAAGTTACTAGAACTAAAACAAATTTAGCTTGTCCTTGACTAATCTCGAATAGAAAAGAAACAACAATTATATTTGGTCATCTGTCACTAGCGCAAGGATGTGTGAAATGCAGACCCATTGATAGTTGATACCTTTATTATTTATATATATAAGAGCTGGTTTTGAGCTGGGTTTTTCCATGCTATTTCCCATCTTAATTAACTTAGATTATCACTATGATTGCATATGCCATTTAATTGAGTTTATAATTTATATTATGGAACACAACTTTTTCCAATTAACTTTCTCCACCCATGCATTCGTGGGTTCATTTTTTATTTCCTCTCAATCAAATTCAGACAAAGCAAATCATCCAACTGTGGACAAGTGTAATATAAAAAATCATGTATATGCATGTCAAATCTAAATACTATAAGTTCATTGTTTAAGGAAATTATCCCCGTGTTTGCCTTAATGTCCCTAATCACAAACTCGCAAATTTGGTATTTCTTATCATGCATTTTCAATAAATAAATATATATAAAATATTAAATTATGAAGGCATGACAGCATATTACACCGGCACCAACTAGTGCCCAACAATACTAAATTACGTTTGTTGAGATAATTATCCATTCATAAAATCTTAATTTGATTGTCACCATCCACTAGTCCACAACTCTTTCACATGCATGCTCATAACTAAGCAAGCTTAGTTATAGCAATATATATAATTAAACACACCACACACACACACACATATATATATATATGACCATCTCCTCATTGAGCTTCAAAATCAATTCTAGCTTTGCTATTCTATTCAAAACCAACACACCAACTTATAATTTAAGTTTGCAATTTTCATTGTGTTCTCAAAACTCATGAAGATGGCCATTCTCAATGTGTTGCCTTTGATACTTTTGGCCAGCACGATGGCTAGCGTGGCCAACGGCTTGAACATGAACTACTACATATTGGCGTGTCCAATTGCAGATATCATCATAAAGAACACCGTGATTAGTGCCTTGCAATCCGACCCGACCCTTTCTGGGCCACTCCTTCGTATGCACTTTCACGACTGTTTTGTCGAGGTTCGTTTTCCAATTCTACCCTTTTTAGTATATTTTCTCTTTTGAATATTCATGCAATTCAGTTTTTAAATTGGGGTTCGGCATATATATACATCAGGGATGTGATGGATCTATATTGATCGACTCGACTAAAAATAACACAGCGGAAAAGGACTCGCCCGCCAATCTAAGCCTAAGGGGATACAAAATAATTGATGCCGCTAAAGACGCGCTTGAAAAACAGTGCCCTGGAGTAGTTTCTTGTGCCGATATTCTGGCCATGGCCGCTAGAGATGCTGTTTTCTTCGTAAGTACTTGGGACACTTGTCGGTTTTTGGTTGGTGTATGCATATTTTCTTTTATTTCTAAAAAATATATTTATGAGGATGATATTGGTGTACGTATTGATCAGGCGGGAGGTCCGTATTATGATATACCGAAAGGTAGGAAAGACGGTCTAAGATCGAAGATTGAGGACACGATTCGATTGCCGCCACCGAGCTTAAACAGTACGGAGCTGATCAACATGTTTGCCCAGCGTGGCTTCACAGCTAGAGAAATGGTCGCTTTATCCGGTAAGATTATAACTATAATATTGTCTCATTAACTTAGCTAATTATACCTTCATTATCCCTTGCTTGAATATATGTTAGCATAATTACATATCAAATTCATGCTCTAGGCTACTATTTCGTATAGTACCCCATAAGATTCAGCTGGATACCTGATTCATTTGTCTGCTAGTCTGTAATTATGTGTTTTTGATTAATGAAGTTTATCTTTCAAAAAAAAAAAAAAACATACAGTTAAATTCGATGAGGATATAACTTTTAATTTCAACCTTTCAAAGGGGCCCACACGCTGGGGGTGGCCAGGTGCTCGTCGTTCAAGAGCCGACTGAGCAGCACCAACCCAAACCGAGACGTGGACCCCACCATCGACGCACAGTTTGCAAAGACGTTGTCTGCCACCTGCAGCAAGGGTGATGACGCAGAGCAGCCATTCGACTCCACAAGGACTAAGTTCGACAACGACTACTACAGAGCCCTGCAGAGAAGTGTCGGACTCCTGTTCTCTGACGAGACGCTATATATGGGCCCCACCACACGGGCTTTCGTAAACGGGTACGCGATGAACCCAGCCATGTTCTTCTTTGACTTCCAACGAGCCATGGTGAAGATGGGGACGTTGGACGTCAAGGAAGGGTCCAACGGTGAAATCAGGGGCAATTGCAGACGGGTCAACTAAATTGGTCGTGTTGTAATATTTTTCGAANTTTTGTGCGATTTATGATTTGAATATCAACTTACAGCACAACACTTTGTGTGTATGTTTTCCATCACGAATGGTGTCGATAGTATTGTAATTAGTGGGTCTTGCTACACTACTGAAGTGTTTTCAGTTTCTTCAAGTTATGCAATATCTAATTTAGGGTGACACTAAAGGCATTTTTGTATGGAGGAAATATTTAAGAATTTGAATTTGGTATAAGCAACGGGGCATACCTGCCTATTTGTAGTCAAGCTAAATCTCAAAGATCCTTGTCGTAATAATCCTGAACAGTAATAGCCCTCAACTGGAGCATACTGTACAACATTATTTTCAGACAAGAAAACAGGCTACAAAACGACAAAGAGCCAAATTTACACCAATTAAGGGTCTTTTACTATTTACTAAACTTGAAACTCCAGATGATAAAATCAAATAACAAACTACATTGTTTCTTGTTCACAGATATATTGCACGACAAATGGAACAGCAGTAACTATTACTCTGCAGAGGTACAGCAGCGGCTGAAATATTGCAAACGAGTGACGTACAACTTTAGTACCCATACGAGGTTCGGCTCATCATCTTCAAGAAATCATCCAAACTTACTTCACCATCATCTGGACGTTTCACGCAAACAAAACACATTAAATCATATGATGACTTCAATATCAAACTTAGTTTCCTGTTTTCATTTTTTGTTTTCCTTTAAACATCAGCGTTTTCTAGGCAAAAGAAAATTTTAGAAGGAAGAGATCCAATTACAACCTTAAGTTTTCCACTTGAAATGATCAACAAAATTCATTAGAGTATTATTCTAAAGGGAATTCTTTTTAATTATCTTAAAATCCATTTACAAATCAATATGATAAAAACTAAGTCTCTACATTATTTTTAGAGTTATTGTGCTCAACTATATGAGCCCATCTGCATGGCCAGATAGGAGATTGGAGAAGTACAGATTCAATGAGTACAAGTTTACAACTTCCAGAATTATAAAATGAAGGAATTTCCATGAGTATAAGTTTACAACTTCCAGAATTATAAAACAAATGGATTTTGGGAATGTGTATAGAGAATCTATTGAAGGGGTCAGAATTTGCAAAGCGCATGGTAGTGAAAAACAGTAGGGAAAGCAAGGGTATCTAAAGTTATGTGGTACAAATAGAATTTAGCAAACTTACTATCTCGGTCTGCTTCCCTAATCATATCCTGCAGCTCTTTTTCAGTGAATCTTTCACCCAAATCATTTGCTATGCGTCTAATATCTCCAAGACATATGCTCCCCTGCATCCAGATGATGAATAACCGGTTACCAACATGACGAGTAAACAAAATGTAAAATACTCCAAAAACGTACATTATTGTTTTGGTCAATAATGCGAAAAGCCTTCTTGAGCTCTTCATTAGTGTCCCTTTCTCCAAATTTAGCTGTCATCATGTGACAAAACTCATCAAAGTCAATAGCCCCACTGCCATCTTTGTCTACTTCAGCGATCATTCGAGTGATTTCCTGTAGGATAAGATTTATTACCATCAAACCATCATCCTAATTTAAATAACTTTTGACTTCATAAATATTATGACATCTGCCACAGCTGGAAGGATCAGCAAAAACTAAGCAAGTATAGAACTGACTTAAAGAAATTTAAAGAAAGATGGGAAATAAAAAAAAAAAAAAACTGCGGAAGTCAGAGTTTCGCTTGGTGAAAATAATTCAGAGAGTACACATGAGAACAACCTAGTTTTAGTTCAAGCAAAAATTGTGTCCAACTTCACTGGCATAAATAAGCATGTAGCTTAAAATTAAGATTTTAACCATGCTTCTGATTGTTCTAAGGTAAAACGTATAGATATATAATGGAAAAACAATAGTTCCAACTTCCAATCATTAATAGGGTAGTGAATTACCGAAAAATGAAAAGCAACTCCAAGAGCCAAACTGCATCATCATCTCGTTACATTTTTATATGAGTTGTGCACTTATAAACATTACTGTTATTTTTACCAAGAGCCAAGATAAACAACTCCCTATTAAGTAGTAACCAAATGTAACGTAGTAGTACATGTACTTGTTAAAGGAACATAAAATGCAAGTTGTAAGTGTTTCGAAGAGTTGTGGCTCATAAAGCAGTTCTAGTTATAAGTCATTATGAACCTAAATCGTTAAATTCACTTTATGTGGGGAATACAGAAAAGTAGGCGTGGTCAGAATATTTAATTTGGAAAGATACTCGCGTAGCACAGTAAGTTTAAATAGTTTATAAGTTGATTACGTTCCAGTTACTCATAATAAGAGAACATTTAGATACTTTAGAGAAAGTTACACAGTAGCATAAGTTTTCAGGTTGACGAATACCTCTTCTGACATTTCAAAACCAAGAGCCCTGCAAAGGAATCAAGTCACCTTAAGCATTAGTATGTCATTTCATCACTTCAATGTATTTAAAAAGAAAATAATGAAATGAACATATAAAAGTACACACACCTCATGGCTACATTCAATTCTTTCGCATCAATGGTTCCTGCATGCAGTTAATTTAGTAGGTCAGATACAGCATATCAAAGAAAATTACGTACACAATATAAAAATCATTCAAATTAAGAATAATGCCAATACCAGATCCATCAGTATCAAACAGTTCAAAAGCCTCCTTTATCTCCTGCCTCTTCTGTTGAGTCAGCCCGTGATGACGACCTCTCGGCTTATCTTTCCTTTGTATCCCTCTCTGGACAGTTGACTGCAAACGAAGGTGTTAAAAAGAACCACATAAAGATGTAAATAGGAATTAGCCCATGCAAGAAATGAGGGAAGATGAGAAAGTTAACAGTTTGCTCGGATATCAAGTCCATATAACAAACCACTACACCATAAACCACAAGTAAATGACAATAAGCAATACATATATCAGCGGTAATCATCTAATTTCCTGAAAAAGATGAAACGGCCCAGATACTTAATGGAAGCCAACTCCCAGCATTTTGTTTTATCATTTCTCCAACCAAAATTTGTAGAATTCTCATCTCAGGAACTTATTAAGTTCAACTAAATTATTTTTTCCGGACAAAAATGGCTTTCTCAACATAAAAAAAAACCGGTACATCATTTCAAATGTCTGTGAACTGATAGTCATATAATGCAGAGACAACATAATATACTACCTATGAAAAGGGAAATTCAAATTTCTTTTCTTCTTACAGGGTTTCTACCTTTATCCAATAAATCAATCGAACAATAGAACACCTCATATCGCCCAAAACCCTGATTATCGAGAAAATAATGGAAATTGGTGGTTCGCATGTTTTGACTTCGTTGACCAGATTACAAATGAATAAATTCTAACCCCAACAGACAGTTCTAATCTAATTTCATCGATAAATATGAGAAGATGAATTATAGTACTAGAAAAGACTGAATTCGATTATCATATCACAATCGAACAAACTCGGGAAAAAAATAAAGCGGGAAAGAAACCCCAGAAAAGCTGATCGAGGAATCCAAATACAATCGAATTGAACCAATTCATAAATATAGCGAATCGAAATGATGCGTTACCATATTGCTCTGCAACAAGAGACGATTTTGCGCTTGTGTGTGCGTCCGCGCTTCGAGAGATGAATGGATAGGGAGAGCCGGAGAGGATGAGTCTTTCAAGTAAAACGAATGAAAGGAGCTTTAAAGTACATTGGATGATTCTACGGAACCCCGTGTNCTTTTTTTTTTTTTTTCTTTTCCTTTCTTTTCTTTTCTTTCTTTCTTTCTGTGAACTATAGAAAATATTATAATCAAACATGTATAAATGTGTAAATTTACAACCCCTAACTCAATAATAAAATCATATAAATTCGCGTCTACATTTGATTAGACATAGCTAGTACAACCGTAAGAAATATTTATTAATAATTATAAATTAAAAATTATCATTAAATAATATTATAAATTAAAAATATGAAATGAATAAGTAATATAATTTACCTATATTAATTTATTAAAAATGTTATATAAAATTCAAATTGTGCAAAATTTATGTCTATTTAAAATTAGTACACAATTTGTACGCTGCACGTAACTCATAATAAATTACATTATATTCATTTCAAAATATGTATCATTTTAAGATTTTAATTCAAAAATTTGATTTGACTATAATGTGATTCCATAAAATAATGATTTTAGTAAATTTTTATTGTATATTCAAAAAACTATGTGAAAAGTAAATATAATTATAAAACTACAATGAATTTATTTGTTTATAAACTATCCATTCAAAAAAATTCTGTAGTTGAGTAATTTATTAAATTATAAATAATTGACTATTCCATTTACGTCTAAGTTAATATTGACCCGTAAGTTATGAATAAATACTTATTTGACTTTTAAATTTAGAACCCAAATTTGAATTACACAATAAATTACCTAATGACCTGTTAGTCAAGCCTGTATAATGAGGGAGTTGAAAAACTTATATAACCAACCTAGGATAAACAATATATTCTTTGACAACGACATGAGATATTATGGGGAAACAAGATATTATTGGGCAACAAGGTGACACATTCTAGGGCAACAAGATATTCTTCGGCAGCAAGATGAGACATTCTTGAGCATCAAGTAATTATTTTCCTATATAAGGATTGAGTTTGGCCATAAAAAGATTATGGTTCTCATTTATTATCCTTATTATATCTAATTATATCCACATTTGATAGAGAGGTACAAAAACTGATTTGATCGTTAGAGAGTCTTACGTCGGGAACCTTCCTGACGTTGTTTTAGGTATTCGGGTGAGCAGACTCGAAGATCAAGGGAAGATTGATGACCTCAAACTGAAGTTATTTGATAGATTCCTATCGATGCACCAAGAAAAGAAAGAGGACAATATTCAAGCAGAAATGAAATTAAATAACACTAGAGATTGAAAGCTTTAGTCTTGAAAACTACAACTTACATACAATATGACATCATAAAATAAATTGTTTTGGCCACATTTGAACTGTGCCTATGGTTTTTGAAATATTCCAACGTAGTTGGATGATATCAAATTTTATTTGAACATATCTACTCCAAATTTTATGGTGTATTGATGAATTAGATTTTTATTTTTTTTTTTATAAAATAATTTGTATTTTTATTTGATATATTTTAAATTTATTTGATAACAAAATTATTTTTTTATAATGATAGATATAATCATTTATATTTTATATGTGCAATATGTATGTCAAATCGAAGATCATTAAAATATGATTATCTTAATATATCATAAAAAAATACAAATATTTTTTTTTAAAGTTTTATATATATAAAGGAATACTAATTCGTGATAATTAATATATGAATTAAATAAGAAAAATGTAAGAATGATATATGGCAACTTAAGAAAAAAGGATACCCAAAATAAGTTATGGTAATTCCCAAGCCTAAGAGTCTAAACCAAACCCGTATATTTGTCAATACAAACCACAAATTTTTGACAAATAAGTTTAAAAAACAAACGAGTCTATCACTTTGGCTCAACGAATTCGGTAATTATATATAAGGGTCAAAATTAAAAAATTATGCGTAAATTGTAATTAAAGTAAATGTTTGTGGTTTGTTTTTGCATATGATAATTTTTATTTTGTTCTAATTTGACCAATGTATTTTGTATTTTTTTTTTTATTTTTTTATTTTTCATTTAACCGCTAGATGTATACTTACGCACTCGGGTGTACAAATATATCGTAAGATCGTCGTTTAGATCAATTGAACAGCTTGTAGCTGTGGCTCCGTCATTTTTTCTCAAAGCCCTCCACTCTGCATAGGGTTCTTTGCCGGCAACCTCCGCCAAAGAGGTTCAATTCATAAGTGTTGCTGATTTCATCTTACTTTTTTTCTAATTTGTCGGATTTATAATGATTTGCATTTTTTTTCCTGGGTCACGAGTTCTGTGAATTTCGAATCTGATCGTTGAAGGTTTGAAAATCTCGGTGCATTAAAGTTATTATTTTGTATGCTGCACCTTATCGATGATTGTATGTTAGATGCTTTGATGGAGAAAACCGGGACTTTTTTCTGGCACTCACCATTCGAGCATCTACCTCCTATCTCGAATTATCTTGCTGTATATTAGGCTTTGGAAATAATTGGTTTGGCTTGGAGCTGTTTACTTGTATGTTATTTGGCCTTTGTGACCGGCATATCTTATTGGCAGCTGTATTTTTTCAGACCATGTTCAGTTTTTAGATTTATGGTATTAGATGCAGTATACTGTGCAGTCATGATTGGTTTTAGTACTTTTCAGTGGTTTTGCCAGGTGGGTTGGGGTAGTTTTGATGGAAGCAGTTGAGGGTTGTGTAAAGTCCACTGATTGACTGATATATTGTTTCGCCAAATTGTGTACTTTATTGAACTCCATTGCGGAAAACAATTTGTCTCGCTTCAGAAAATCCCAAGTCATATGTGTCCAAGGCGCATCTTATTAATATTTTAATTTGGATATTTACACATTGCTTATATGCTGCTGCATTTATTCGATTCCTGAGATATTTCAATCATATCGTCTTGTTAGAAGTATGAGTAATACTCCGAATAGAAGGCTACCCGAGGAAGGTGGAAATGGTAGCAGCAGTGGCAGTCACAGTCACCCATCTGTCATAAGGTTTCCACATGAAGATCAGGGAACATATTCAGCTGTGGGTGGAAAGGTTATGAAGATCAGTCACAGTCACCCATCTGTCATAAGGTTTCCACATGAAGATATCTATGATGTGGGCTCCGAGGCACGGATCTCGAAGATTGCCCAACGCAATGAGTCGCGTGATGCCGACAGGAGAGCACCGTTGCTTCCTATGTTCAGAATGTCGACACCAAATGACCTGCATGCAGATCATGCTAGCACAGAGAAGTGGGCGGAGTTCAGGGACCCAAAAGACAATATCAAAGAGATTAAGGTTGACAATCGCGAAATGAAACCAGAAACCAGGGAGCCCCAGCAGGCTGCTAAATCTGATAAATACGAGAGCCGAGTTGATGAAAATAAAGATTCGAAATATGAACGGGATGCATATTCTGAGCCCAAAGGCATTGATAAAGTGGATAAGGATGTTTACAGTGGGTCTATTAGCCAGTTGAATTGGAAAGATGCGAAAGAACAACACCGTGTGAAACAATATCCTGATGTCCCTGGAGTAAATGCGGACACCTGGCATGGGTCACGTACAGGCTTGCATGGGCCCGTTGATGCTGCAAAGGAAAGTCAACACGTGGAGAACAGGGATGTGCATGAAGCCCGTGAGGCTGTTGGGGAGAACAAGGTTGACGTGAAAGGGGATGACAAAATTAAAGACAAAGATAGAAAAAGGAAAGAAGTGAAGCAGTGGGAGTGGGGGGAGAGGGACAAAGAGAGAAATGATCGCGGGAACAACTCTCCACCCGGTAACTGCAGTGGTGAAAATAAAGAGGCGGTGAAAGAAGAAAGAGAGCCTGAGAGGTGGGGGAGTGAGAAGAAGGAGCCTCTGAAGGAAAAGGAAAAGGATCATGTCAAGAGGGAACTGTGGAGTGGTGCTGAAAAAGACATTGCCCACAATGAAAAAGAGCAGGCGAATATTCCTGGAAAATCTGTTGAACAGGAGAGTTCAGCTCTAGAACCGAAGAAGAAAGAACATGATACTTGGAAAAATGTTGAAAGGGAAGCAAGAGACAGGAAGAAGGAGAGGGATGCTGATGTAGAACCAGAGAGACCTGACAAACGGAGTAGGTACCATGAAAAAGAAATGGATGAAGGCGGTATGATTGCTGAAGGAGGTGCAGAACGAGAAAGAGAGGTTTTTAATTCTGCAGTTCAGCAGCGAAAGAGAATGCTGCGGCCAAGAAGCAGTCCTCAAATAGGAAATAGTTCACGTCAAAGGGCAGGTGCCCATGACAGCGAAGGGTAAGTTATTTGAGGTGTACTTGATTATATGACTTGAAAGGAAATCATACCCTTTTACCTAAAAATATTGAAAGAAGGAATAATATTCCTCAAATGGAAAATGAAGATGAAACTCGTTAAATACCTGTTATTGCATAGCATTTATGCTAATTTAGGTATTCATTTACTTATCAGATATGTCCAAGATTTCTACTCGTGTTCTNGTTTTTTCTCTCTTCTGTCAAATATGGTGAGAACCTTGATTTGAGTGGATATTTTGTTGAGTATGTATAGTTTGTAAAATGAATTAATATGATGAAAAATAAGGTATTCAGAATATCTTATCTTACAGTCATTAAAGTTGAGAGGAACATGTCAAAACATGAAACTTGAAAGACTTGGAATGATAGTCATACAAGTAAAGTTGATTTATATTGTTATAGCCTCATCATATTATTGTATTGCCCTCTGATCTAATGCTCTTAGTATGTGAGCGTAAGTGATTTTAAAGATCCATTTCATACATGTATTTATTGATAGGAAGTTTTCCTTGTTGAATTTTGTTGAATTAAAATGCATTGATGGAGATGTGTACTAACTTTTTCATATTTACCTCTTCTGCAGGTCGCATGGTAACCCAACTTGCCTTCTCTTTCTAATTTAGGCAACTTCTGTTCAGGAATGGAACTTTTGCTTTATGTTATAATAATGTTCTTGAGTGGGTGGTGATCGGTTGCAGGTAAGGGTGATGTGTCTTGCGTTAATTATAAAATTGGTGAATGTATGCAAGAACTCGTCAAATTATGGAATGAATATGGGTTGCAAGCTGATAA